AWTTAATGTTAAACTGATTATTTCTAATAATTTGATTATCATTAGCTAGTAGTAGTTGGAAACATCGTAGAAGTAACTGGAAATAAGGTAGAAATAACTGGAAATAATGTAGAAGTAACTTGAAAAAGGTAGAAGTAACTGGAATACAAGGTACGAGTACTTCCTCTGGCTTCAAGTTACTTTACGTGGTACAAATTACAATCAGGGATTGGCTGAGTACCTCATGAATAATTAATGAGTTTTTGAAGGGATTTTACAACACTCTTCACAGTTGTGATTTCTATTGTGTTTTCCTCATTAATTATTCATGAGTTTTACGAACAGCAAATACAAGATTATGTTGCTGGACAAATGTGAGTCAATAGTTAATGCAAATATTTATGTGATTTCGAAGAATGCAGTTTTATTGATTATAGACCATTATAAGTAACTGTAATTTTGTATTTAGCTTCAGATTATGTCTCAACAAATTCTGAAACCAGCAACAGTATTGTCTTTTTGTGTCCTTTATGGCTTTGTAAAATATCCTTAAAATTTGCTAGCCATTATCTGAAGATTTCTTTCGTTGCTGGTGTGTTTAAAGGAACTAGATGATCATGGATCGCTCATGGGCTTCCTGTAGCTGCGATGATGGCTCAGCTGCTGCCTTTGAGCTATAAGTATTTCATTTTCACGAAACCGTCTTTGCTTGAAATAAGTCAAGACAGAATTACGTTAATATAAGTTATTTACTACATCATAAATTTTACTGAACTGAACTCTGAGTAACTTCTTTAAATATCCTGTCTTTCTCAGTTTTCAAAAATAGCTAGCCCGACTCTACGCTCCAAGAGCGTCTAGATTATTCGAAATATGCAAAAATGAGAGATTTCAAAATTTGACCTGGAAGGGTCATATATATAAACAATAGAAACGCTACAGTCTTTGCAGTTTTGTCGGTATTGTTATAACTTTGAGTTATACTAGGATCACCTCGGATTCTTTTGTCTTCCGAGGGATGTTTACAAGCGAACATCCCTCCCTCATGAATAGCATGAGGGACAATTACTAGTAATTGTCC